GGGTACAGAGTTGTTGGAGGGCTGGACAAGACTTACTATATCAACAGAGATGGCCTAAGTCCAGAGCCTCTGACCCTATCATGGGCCATGAGGAAGGCCACATTGGACATTGGAGGGATTCAGGGAGCCTCCTTCATTCTTGGAGGCACAGGGGGCTCCAGGAGGTACCCGAGACCCTGTCCTAGTCCTCCCAGGGGAAGTGGGCCATCTTCTTCTGCCACAGCAGAGGGGCTCTGCTACTGGATGTTTGCAGAAGGAGGCCTGGAGCCAGTCACATGGGCAGCCATTGACAGGCACTTCAGTTCTACTCATATCTGGCTCTAGGCTGAGGGTGGGGAGAGGAAGCTGTGATAGGAGGTGATACTAAGTGGCACTGATAAGCTTCCTGGACTGCTGGCTCTGTGGATTTGTTTAGTAACCTCTCTCCACCTCCCAGACCTCGTGTGCTGGCAAACACACACAAAAGTATGGCCAGCCTGAGCCTCTTCCTTCATCCCACATTAAAGGCTCCTCTTTGTTCATTATGACATGAGACATGCAGGGTGAATGTATGGTGGGTGTAAGTGATGGTGATGGTCTGGGGCTTCCTATTGTTATAGGTATGGATCTGAGTCCAGAGGGCGCCTGATGAGATGTCTGGGATCTGTGTCCCAGAACAAGGAATTGGACTGTGAACACATGGATTGGGATAGAAATAGAAATAGTTCATTAAGGAAGCAGAATATGGGACTGGGGTGATGGCTCAGTGGGTAAAGTACTAGATATCTAAGCCTGAGGACCTGAATTTGGATCCCGGGTACCCACTTAAAGCACACATCTGTAATCCCAGAGGTCATATGGCCAGATGGGAAGTGGAGACAGGAGAATCCTTGGAAACTTTCGGCCAGCTAGCCTGGCATACACAGAGATGAACATACAAAATGGAAGGTTAGGACTTGCACCTGAGAGTATCTCCTGACCTTACATGTGTGTACCTGAACTCACACACACAAATATGCACACACACACAGACTTCCCAGCACAAGAGGAGACAGAGGCCCTAGAACCCACAGCCAACCCTCACACACCCTCTGACCAGACTGTCCCACTCATCCCTGCCTCTGCCAATAGGGCTACTTTACAAGAGCAATAGCTGCCAATCACAGGAATTGAACCCAAGGAAGAAGACAGGAGAGAGAGATGAGGCTGGGGATGGATGGCAACTCCACAGATTCCATAGGATGGTCCCTGCAAGATATACTCAAGACTACCCTCCTCTTCCCTCCTTCTTTCGTTCCTCCTCTCCACTGAGCTTCAGGCCGCACCCTCCCAGGCTTGGCCTGGACTTGGACATAATGACCAAGAGCCACAGAGCAGCGGCATATACCCAAACTGGCCCAAGGCACCACCACATACCCCACAGAAGGCTGCCACCTGAACCTACTTCTCCAGCTCCATATACAACTCTGGACACAGGGTGTCACCGAGGACGATGTTACCCTACCCTATCCTCTTCTGCTCATCCTTCAAAACCCAGCTCAGTGTCCTGAGCTTCTGAGCCTGTTCCAGGCTTATCCAGATACCCAGGCTCCTACTTCCCCCAGTGCTCAGCATAGAGGCATCCAATGGGAAGGATGGGTGGGCCCTATCAACAAGCAGAGGACTCTGTGTGTGGTACACAAAGGTGTGTGTAAAAGTGTGTTTCTTGGGGCTGGAGAGATGGCTCAGTGGTTAAGAACACTGGTTATTCTTGCAGAAGACCCGGGTTCGAATCCCAGCACCCACAGGGCAGCTAACAACTGTCCGTAACTCCAGTTCTAGAGGATCCTACAGCTTCTTTTGTCCTCCGTGGGCATTGCAGGACACGGGTGCATTTACTTACACACAGGCAATACATGCATGCACATAAAATAAAAATAATAAAATATTAAAAAAAATCTTAAAAAAAAAAAAGTGTGTCTCTTGGTAAAGGCACTGTTGAGGCCAGAGAGAGCACCTTATGTCCACAGGCCTGGATTGCAGACAGGTACTTAAGGTGGTTGAGCAACATTCATGTCAGAGCAATTGGTCACCAGAGCTGGTCAGGAAGGACTCTCCAGGGGCCAGGGTGCAGTGCGAGGTGCAGTGTGGATAACAGATTGGAAACTGCATTGTTAGATGGAAGGAGTTTGTCCTTGTCTCTGCTCTGAGGCAGGTAGCACTCGGTTTGTGCACCCCCCTCCTCAAGAGTCACAGGAGGATTCCTTGTAGGCCTGTCCAACCTCTTGACATTGCCGCAGGACACAATTGTCATTTATAGAATTTATGCTTGAGAACCAACTGTGTAATCAAATTACAAAAAAGAATTGCAAGAAGTTTTTGTTTTATGATTTAGTGTTGGGCTGTGTTCATAGCTGTCTTCTACTGCTGCATGTGGCCTATGGTGGTGAGTTGGACACACCTCTATGACCACATGCCCTCACTGGCTGCATTGGGGGACTCGGGTTAGGTGAGGCCCGAAGGGGCCAGTTCCCTGACCTTTTTTGCCTTTTGATGGTTACTGTTATTCCCACCACAGAAGTGAGGGTTACAAAGTTGTTGTTGGCCACCCCCTCCCACTCACCTTCCTTCCTATGTTCTATGACTCTAGTGGCCTGGCGCCATTTGAAACTGCCTGCTGTGTGTCATTGGTTTTCTCTCTATCTGACTGTCCCCTCCTCCAGGAAGATTTTCCTGACTTCCCCAAGTCCTGTCTCCCACATCTGAGTCACCTCTGGCACCAGCAGAGATTCAGGGTTTAACACAGGCAGAGTAATTGATACAGAAAATGTTTCCATCAGCTTGTTAACTGAAACAAATACCTGACAGAATCAATTTAAAAAGAGAAAGATTGATTTGACTCATCGGTCAGAGGTTTCAGTTCTTGGTTGGTCTATTGCTTATACTTACAGCTTGGCAGGAGATGGCCATGAGGAGCTGGCTTTACTGTGGCTCCTTGGAGAAGAGGTGTTGAAAAAGAACCAGTGAGTCAGTGTTGGCCTCATGAGGGTCAATGGGTTGGGGAGGGTCCTGGCTTGGTCCTGGCTGAGGCCCCCTGGGTGGACCAAGTTCACTTTCTAGGCATTGTGGCCCACCTTGGGGTCTTCAAACAGAGACTGTCTTGGAAAGATGTACCTGGCCCCTTGATCACCAGGCTCTATCCCTCCTTGTCTCCAATGCTGGAGAGCTCTTGGGTTGGAGGGAGCAGGGCCCATGGAGAAAGTCAGGAGGCCCGCTGGGCAGGGCTTCCTCCTAGACCTTTGGTCTGACTTCCCTCTTAGCCTTGGGTCTAACCTCTCTGTCTTTGCTCACCCAGGGCCATATGTGAGCTCTGTACCCCCTTTCCTCAACACTGGTGAGGGTGGCCTGAGGTCATCAAAGGGGCCACCTCGGAGTCTTCTGGTTTAGAGGGAGGCATTCATTGTGTGTGTGTGTGTGTGTGTGTGTGTGTGTGTGTGTGTGGATGTGCAAATATGTGGGTGGGTAAGGGACTGTAAACAACAGAGGACAGAGTGTAGTTGGACCCAGTGCTGCCTCCTGGGCTGTGGAGGAAGAAACAGAGTGGCTGGGCTCAGGTCACCTCTAACAGTCTACTCAAATTGGAAGCTGATTTCAAGTGACCCCAGCCAGACCCAGTATCCTTTTGCTGCCCTCTCTGGTCTGGGGTGGTGTCATGGGCTTGACCCAGGCAGCAGAGTCATCTGGGTATGTGAGGACACCCCGCCTGGCCCTGCCCTTGCTCAGCCCACTCTGAATGGGTGGGACTCCCAGGGGTATAGTGAGATCAGTGGGGAGGGGCACTCAGTCTCTCACTCTGTCTCTGAAACCTCCCGCTTGGTGTTGTCATGACAACCTGTCCTGAGGCTCCCGTTCTTGGCTGCTGAGAGCCCTGTGTACCTCAGTCTCACACTCTTCATCTATTCTGTGCTAGTATAATATAACCAGGGTAATTTGTAAAGAAAAAATGTTTGGGGGCCAGGGAGATGGCTCAGTTGGTAAAGTGCCTGCAGTGCAAGCATGAGGATCTGAGTTCAGATCCCCAGCACCCACATAAAAACGGCATGGTGGTGCATGTGTGTAACCCCAGCACTAGAGGAGCAGAGATAGGCAGATCCCTGGAGCTCCCTGGCCCACCAGCCTAGCTGAATCAGTGAGCTCAAGGTTGAGTGAGAGACCCTGTGTCAAAAAACTGTAGAGGGAGATAGCACCTGAAGAAGACACCCGATGTTGACCTCTGACCTCTGCACACGTGTGCACACACCATGTGAACACATAATACCACACATAGGAAGGAAAGAAAGAAGAAAGGAAGGAAGGGGAAAAGGAAGAAAGAAAGAAAAATGTTTTAGTCAGTTTGCTATTACTATAACAAATACTTGAGACAATCAACTTAAAAAGAGGAAAGGTTTATTTGGCCCACAGCTGGAAGTTTCAGTTGGTTTGGCACATTGTTTTGGGGCCTGGGGTGAGCCAGTTCATCATGTTTGGTGAGCATGTGATAGAACAAAGTTGCTCCCAGTATCTCTTTCAAGGGCCTGTCCTCAGTGACCTAACTTCTTCCCACTAAGCTCCACCCCCTAAAGGTTATAGTACCATAGGCAAGTCACTGAACCTTTAACACATGGACCTTTGGGAGATACTTCTAGGAGAGACACTTACCCAAACTGATACACCTAGGGAAGGATGTGTGCAACTTCTATTGAAATACTACACAGTTGTATATAAAGGATGTGTATCCATAGAATTTGGTATTGCGTGTGGTTACTGAGGAGTGACCCTACAACTAAACCACTCTTGATAAGGGAGCACCTTGATAGCAATCTGTCTGTGTAGGAAGAGCCCTTGCAACCTGGTCACCTACCATTAGGTCTTATCTTGCCATGTTTGGACAAGTTTCCAACACAGGGAGTGTGGGGACACTCTGGCCACAACACAGTGGCTTGCATCTCCTGGTGGTTCTGGCTAGTCCGCTGATCCTTCTCCCCTCTTCCCTTTGCTTGCAGGTCCTGCAGAAACTAGGGAAGGCGGATGAAACGAAGGATGAGCAGTTCGAACAGTGTGTCCAGAATTTCAACAAGCAGCTGGTAAGTGTGGGTGGCCCTTGGCCTTGAGGTGCTTGTCGGGATGGAGCAGTGGCTGCCAGATGGAAAAAAGTAAGGACTCTATTTGTGGAGTAGGAGATCACAGGGGAAGGGATTGGTGTAGGATGGTGGAAAGAAGAGGCCAGGTCCTTGATAAGATTTACAGAGAGAGAGAGGGAAGGGGAAGGACTAGGTGGAAACGGGACTGTGGGCAGACCCTGGAAAAGTTCAAATGTCAAGGCCAGTGGGAGCCATAGAAGCTGCTTGCTAGGAGAGTGACATCTGCAGCAAAATGTGGAGGCCAGACAGGCTGGATACAGCTTGGCATCAACCAGACTTGATGGGTGCCGGCTTTGTGGCAGGCTCCAGCTGGGTCTTCTGTGGATGGCTTGTGGACATTTCCAGGCAGCTCTGGAAGACACCATACCGTTGTCCCTCTTTTAGATGAGGCAGGTGAGGCTCAGAGAAGTAGATTCAGTCATTCAAGGTCATCTGGCTTTGGAAGTAGATTGTCTGGTTCCAAATCCTGGAAGAGACTCCCAGAGCATCCTTACAGAGCACATTTCAAGCTTAATCATGTAGGCAGCCTGGGACCAACAGTTGGATACCAAAGAGGACTTCTCTACTGAATGGAAAACCCTGAACACCCTGCATGGAGATGACCTTCACCCTCCCTCTTGGCTGGGGGAGGGGCAAAGTAGCTGGAGGGAGGCTGAGCTGGATCTTAGCTCTACAACTTCTTCAGGCCAATCCCATGCAAGTGACAGATGGAGGTGTGGCTAGAGAAGGAAGCCAAAAAAGAACCAGGCAGAACAAGGGAGGTGAGGTCAGCATCTAAGCTCTACTAAGAAGTAGGGCAGGGTAGGCCCAGGCTGGGGGACTCTGGTCTCCTGGTACTCCTAGTCTATAACTGAGGCCTTGGGAAACATTGAAGGCTTCTATTGAAGCCTCTGCAGCTGGACAGGAATGCAGGAGAAGAATCTTCAGGGAGAATTCTGACAGCTCGCTGGCAGGGGCCTGGGAGCTACGATGGTTAGACAGTGATTGGGGGAGGACTCGGGAGAAGCTGGGAGAGGGCTGGGAACATTCTGGGAGAAGGCTGGGGAGCAGCTGGGAGAGGGCTGGAGCATTCTAGGAGAGGACTGGAGTGTGCTGGGACATCACAACCACCATGGTTGCTTGTCCCTCCAGCCAGTAATGGAAGGTGTTTCAAAGCCCGTGTAGTTCCCCTGACAGGGGTATCTGTTGCCCTAGTTTCTTCACCTGTAAAATGGAGACTTGAAAAGGAAGCCAGAAGCCTTGGCCTCTGATTCTGTCCCTTGGAAGACTGGCGGGTCCTCTACTTACCTGAGTTCCTTAGGTTGTGGGCGGCTCTGAAAACCTTTTAAAGATCACTATTCCTTGGGTACTTACCTGGCCTTGAAATAGAAGCTCGCATTGTTTTTTTTTTTTTTTCTTTGAGCTGATTCTCCTTCATACTGTGTAGCCAAGGATAACCTTGAACATCTGATTCTCCTTACTCATAAGAGCTAGGATTACAGGCTTTGCTTTACCACACTCAGTTTATGCAGTGCTGGGGACTGAACCCACGCCTTTGTGCATTCTAGGTAAACATTCTACCAAATAAGCTAAATCTCCAGTTCCTGATTATTATTATTATTTTTTTGCAGATGGAATTGGAGGCTCAGAGAGGTTAAGGCCACATGACTGGTTTGGGGAGCTTAGTGATTGAAATCCTGACTCTGAGCCCTTTACCTTTCTTCCAAGTTCACCGAGTCCTCAGGGCAGCTGGCTGGCAGCTGAGAGCTTGAGGTAGGGCTGCCAGAGTCTCTCTAGAGCAGGCTGGGCTGTTAGGAGGCAGATGAAGAAAGCATAGGAGGTGAGGTCCCTGTGGCCTGGCCCAACATCGTGGCTCTCTCTGTTCTTCCCATAGTGCTTATAGGTATGGATCAGGGCCTGAGACAACCTGCTGGAATCTCTTAAGTTCTTGTGTCCTGGAATGAGGAATTGAATCAGTGACACATGGATAGTTATGGAAACAGGGAAAGTTTATTAAGAGAGTACTGCTGAGGCAGAAATTGGGCCAGAGACCTGGGAAACATTAGAAGTCCAGTGGTGCCTATGCTGGGCAGATGGGGACATTTATACACTGTGCATTTCTTGTGCACATGCTCTGTCACCTGTTAGCCTTGGCTGGGAGGGGTTTCCAGTCTTTATTCCTACTGGCTTTTTTCATATGCTAATCTCCCATGCCCCCCTCTCCCATCATATCAGGGTTATCCCTCCTGAGTCCTTGCCCCTGGCCAAGACCTCCCTCAGTGATTCTTGGGCAGAGGGGTGGGCCCAGAGGCCAGGGCTAAAGGTAGTCATGGAGAGTCATGCAAACTGGGGCTCTTAACTGTTCCTGGGACTGGAACAGTGGCTGGCTGTTCAGCGCCAGGGGTAGTTGTGGGGTGCGGTTGTGATGTTTCTTTCTAGTCTTAGTGGACCTTGATGGGGGTTATGCAGGTCTGGAGTTGCCTGGTGGTATGGCGGCGATGGCTGGGCAAAGGGGTTAGGGGCAACTGTGGATTGTAAAGGGTGTTCTTGGTCCTGTGCCAGCCACAGGACTTGGATCATGCTAGGGGGAGCTGGAGCGTGAGAAGCCTGGAGGTCACATTTTCTCCTGCCATCGTACCTGAGAGCCCTCAACATGGTGAGCCTGACACTGGGTATAAAGGTGACAGTGAATTTAGTCTTCAGGGAAACGAATCTCCCACCCCTTCCCGTGACCCCAGGAGAGAGTGCAGATTGCCTGCTGTTACTTGCTCTCACAAGCACCCAAATGCATGACCCCTCTTGGGCCCACTTGGCACTGGTTACAGGTTATACCTTTGCCTTACTCTGAGTGACTGTAGGGGACCACTTGTCCCTCTGAACCCCTAGTACTGCATACCCCATTCCTGGAAGACTCCTGGAAGCCATCCTGGCTTCTGGGGTGGTCCTGGACCTCAGGGCTCACTGAGGAGGGCAAGCCCTACTCCTGGCTTTGTTTGCAATGGCATCCCAAGCTATTGAGTAAAAACCTGTCCTGGCCCTGATTGTTTAGTGCCCAGAGTGAGGGCTGAAGCCCAAACAGAGGTCTATGAAGGATGGGCCTCATTGGCCCCTAGAGCCATTAGTAGGTGGGAGTCTAGGTCTGTAGGCTTTGAGTAGTACTGAGTAGGAGGAGGCCCATCAGGGGTGTGTAGAAGCTGTCTGAACTCAGCCTCCTCTGGCACTGTGCCAGACCCTTGCTTACACTCATGGGCGGAGCTGAGCAATGGCTCGGAATCTTCTCCCCTAGCTAGACTCTGCAAGGAGTTGTAACCAGAACCCAGGAACTTCTAGAGAACTGTTTCCTGGCCATCCTGTTTAGGGGCCAAGGGAGCCAGTCCTGGGCAGCCCCTTGTTTGCTCACAGGCTGGTGTTGCCTGGGAAGCACGAGGAACCTTGGTACATCCTGCTGCCCAGGCAAATGTATAGCCCAACCCATAGAGACTTGCTTTGGTGCAGTATAGAGGCATGTACTGGGAGAGGAGGGGAGACGGCTATAGGTGTGACGGGTGAGGAAGGTTTGGTAGGGAGAGAAGCTGGATCTGAAAGGTTCTGTGGCAACACCTCACAAGCACACTTTAATCCTTATCTTTACCAGCAAAACATTTAAGGTGTAAGAGTTGAGGAGGCTGTGGAGTGCCTGGACCCTTCTTTCCTGTCCAGTCCTGCAGGCTCTGCATCCCATCTTGGAACACTTCTAGATGGCCCTTTGTTTCCTCATTTAATCTGTACTCAGTGAGCCTTGAACTTGGGTGTTCAGACTTACATTGGACAGGGGTTGCATAATAAGTGGCCTGGCTTCCTATCTGCATGTTTCAGATTCACAGATTCAATCAACTGCAGAGTGAGGATACTTAGAAGAAAAAAAGTCAGTAAAGATGATGCAAATAAAATCAATGCAGTGCACTATATACATATCATTTGCATGATGAGTAATGTAGAAGTGATGTACAGTACATAGGAGGATGTGTGTGTGGGTTCTGTGCAGACACTATGCTATTTCGTGTTAGGGCCTTGTGCATCTGGGTTTGGGTATCTGACAGGATTCCAGGATAAATTTCCTTGCATCATAAGGTATAACTGTCCTCTAGGGGAACTGAAGGAGTTTTAAAGAGGGATGTTGTTCCTTTCTACTCCCCGTTTTATTATGTGGCATCTTATGTGTTGTTCTGAAACTGTCACTGCTAGTGTAGTTGTGTGACTTGGGGAGACAGGAACAAACATCTATTCACGCCAAACAGCAGGCCAATGACAAAGCAATGAAACGATTCTACCCAAGGGTAGCTTAGTGAACCAGTGGATTTTTGGAGGCTGTTTACAAGAGTATGGGTGAAGGAGAAAAGGTAGCTGTATCACCAAAAAGCCCACCTCACCCTGGGTAATGATTCACAAAAGCTGTACCCCTCCAGTTATGACTAGCAGGCCCCTTGGCTGCCTGGAGAGTCTCCTTTCCCCAACTATTCAACTATTGTTACTGCTTATGTATCTTGGGGAGAGGGCTTGTAAATCTTGTAAGGCTCTGGCAAGTTGCCAACCATTTCAGCATCCAGATCAGGTGGTAACGGTGATGTTGAGAAGATGGTACACAGGGATCTGTGGGTACTAGGGTAGAAGGAGCAGGTCCTAGCACAGGAGAAGGAGTCTGCCTGGGGGCCAAGAGAAGTGGAAGGTGCTGGAGTGAGCCAGGAAGGTCTCTACCTTTCCTTGAAGCAGACCAACATGTGCGGAGAACATCTTCAGGTCACAGCTCTGCACCCTCTAGGTCTCCTGGGACTGTGGCGAGCCATGGCCATGTCTCCCTACATCTCCTCCAGGATGAGGGAGGCAAGGAGGGTTCCATTTTGAGACACAACCAGCATCAGATACATGTTCCCTGTTCCAGTGTAAAGCCCACCTCCTGAGGCCTGACTTTAAGGCCCTGGGCTTAGCACTTTATCTGAGCTGTTCCCAATCACCGTATCCCAGGCAGGGCATTGCCACTTGCCCCATGTGACTGAGGCTCAGAGAAATGCACTGACTTGCTTACTGCATGACCCCCCACACTTGCATGTACTTCCCCTTCTGATGTGGCTTCTGGAATCTTCCAGTTAGTACTGTGGGTGGTCTGAGGACTCTCAATGGAATACCCCTCCTCATACCTGGAGCTCAGCTTTCTTTATCCATTTCTGTACCACAGGGACTTGAGGCCCAGGGCTTCACCCTCTTTGCTGGGTCTGCTGCCTCAGGAGCCCTGCAGCTCCCCTGGCTTGGGAGCTTCAAAATGGCCCACTTCTTGCTTTTTCTCCCAACATCCTCCACCATCTCTCTCACCTGGCTGGGGTCCTTGGCAGCATCCTCTACTTCTGAACCCTGCTAAGACTATTTCCTTCTGGGGTTCTCTTCTTAAAGGTCCAGTGCCATCTGTTCATTATTGTCCCCATGAAGGTGTACACAGGTCATTTCCCTCCTTTGGTACTGTGAGAGTCTCTGTTCTAGGTGTCACCTAAACTTGCAGATGTTTCTGTTCTCACTGCTCACTCATTTACTGTCATTTGAGATCTGGGCTGCTGTGTTCATGAGCCATATGCATGTGATATTCAGCAGTTTCTCAGTGTGTCATCTGTGCACAGCGAGTCTTTTCTCCTTGCTGTCCTTGTACCAACAAATGGTGACTGACAAATGGGGCTGTGCGGCTCCAAAGGAAGGGCTGTGCCAGAGGGCCAGAGCTGCAGTCCTCTGGGTGCCTCCTTATGGGGAGCACACTGATTTGTGGCTGCTGGCAGAAAGGCAGCCTGGTCTGTCATGAGGTGGGTAGCAGGAGGGAGAGGATTGGTGACCAGTGTCCCCAGGCCCTGACCTTGTTCTTGGCTTTCTTGGCAGACGGAGGGTACCCGGTTGCAGAAGGATCTCAGGACCTACCTGGCTTCTGTTAAAGGTAGGGAACATCTGGCTGGGAGGAGCTAGGCCTACAGAGCTGAGGGGTGACTGAGCCATATCTGTGATGGTCATGGCTGTGTGGGGGATGCCATAGGGAAGCCATGTACCTTCTCTTTGCCCCATAGCTATGCATGAAGCCTCCAAGAAGCTGAATGAGTGTCTCCAGGAGGTGTATGAGCCTGATTGGCCTGGCAGGGATGAGGCGAACAAGATTGCTGAGGTGAGCATCGTAGAGGTCGCCTTGGCCCTTCCCCCCAGGGCCTTTTGGGTCTTTAGCTCCTGTCCCCCCAATGTCTGGCCCTCTGGGGCAAGCTGTTTTGGTTCTCTAGGACTCACATGGTGTGTAGCCTAGGCCAAGCTGCCTTTCCTCTTCTGAGGACTGTTCTGGTGTTCTCATACTGGAGGCTGAAACGGAGGCTATCCCTGGGTGTTAGCCCTTGTGAGTCACACAGTCTCCCATGCCAGTCCTGACTGTATCTGAACCTTACTGTTATCCCAGGAAAGGCTGCAGGGTAGACAATGCTACCCCAGGAGACCAAGGCTCTGGGATGAGAGCTGGGAACTATGTGGCTTAGCTCCCCAAGGCACCCTTGCTTGTGTGTTTTAGAACAATGACCTACTGTGGATGGACTACCACCAGAAGCTGGTAGACCAGGCCCTGCTGACGATGGACACCTACCTGGGCCAGTTCCCTGACATCAAGGTGAGAAGCCTCTTGGCACATTGCCCTACTTTGGCCTGGAACCTGTGGAAGAGGCTGGAGATGAGGAGAGGCCTATGAGGCAGAGCTTGTTCTAGTGGGAGGTAACTCCTCTGCAGCCAGGTCTCTGCATAGCATGGCAGCTTGTCCCTGTAGGACTGCTCTGTCTGTGGCCAGCCATCAGCCCCCCTGTTATATGACTTTTCCTAGGGAGATGTGAACACTAGATAGGGCACTGATGACAGACCAAAGAAATGATTCGCTCCAAGTCTAGTTGAGTTTATTGGAATTATTATAGCAGTGTGAGTGAGGGGTTACTTAGGAGCAGGGACAACTCAAAGGGTATATGACTCACTGAGAAGCCTACCCCAGCATGAGTACAGCTTACAAAAGCTGTATCCCTGGAGCTCCCTGCACAGTTTTACAGACATCTTGGCAAGTCAGAGAGTCTCCCTAGCAATTGCTGCTGCTTCTATAACTTAGGGGGTGGGGCCTTGTGAGTCTTGTAAGTTTGAGGAGCTTCCTGAGTACAATCAATTTCAATTAAGAGGAGATAGTTTCAAAATAGACCTGCTCCCTGGAAGTGGGTCTCACTGTGCCTTTGTGTGGAGGCTCAAGGAGGAGGCCTCCGTGTGTGTGTGTGTGTGTGTGTGTGTGTGTGTGTGTGCGTGCGTGCGCGTGTGCGCACTGGAATGACTATATGATTGTGTTGGAGGTGTGAAGATGTTTATAAGGCCCAAGCACATATGGTTTGAAGATACTTATATTTATGTTGTGTGTGCTTGGAGGAGGGTATATGTATGTAGTCATGTGTGTTGCCTGTTAACTGCAGTTGGATGTCTGGGAGTGTTTGTATTATTACATGTTCAGAGCTGACTGCTTCTGTTGAACCTGCATAAGTACTTGGAGTCCTGTATGGTAAGGTCTCTACCTAGGCTACTGGGCCCCTAGGTGCTATGTCCATGGAGGCTCAGGGGTCTGAGGAGCTCAGGGAGGACCAGGAGGAGTGTCTCCCTTATGTAGCATCAGGGGCTGCCCAGTGCAGGTGTGTAAGGCTCACTGATGCTGATGGAGTGGCTTAGGAGAGGATCTGGGGTCCAAGAAGAGTCTCTAAAGAGCCCATAGCTTGATCGAGGAAGAAGCTTGGCTCATATAATACTGGTTAGAGGGTCTTGATGAGATGGGTTCATGTTGCCAGGATACTAGGTGACATAGAGGGGATAGGCTGCCCTGAAGAATGCCCTGTCCCCAGAAGGTTCATTTGCAGGGCTCTAGCACCCCTCAGATAGGGGTCTGGGTCAAGGTACGGTGCTTGAGCCTGCTGTGTTATCTAGTCTGACCTCTCTGGGCATAGCCAGGGCTTCTGGTCACCAAGCCCCGTTGAATCATCCCATCTCTGCTCCTCAGTCACGCATTGCCAAGCGGGGGCGGAAGCTAGTGGACTATGACAGTGCCCGGCACCACTACGAGTCTCTTCAAACTGCCAAAAAGAAGGATGAAGCCAAAATTGCCAAGGTAAGGTCTGGGGCAGAGCTGGGGGGTCTGAGAGAGAGGCAGGCAGGTGGCTAGTCCAAGATTCCCAGCTGTGGGTGGGGATGGTTCTGGACACAGGACCAGTGAGTAGCCTTGTGGGTACCTAGGTGGGGGCTCTTAGGCCTCTTTCTGTCACTGGCAGGTCCCTTTTGCCTTGCTTTAAGGCAGTTTTCCAGAATGAGAATAGACCCAGCTTGGGTTTCTCTGGTGTGGCACCACCCTGCCCAGTGTACTGAGTGGAATTCTGTCATGGGATCCGATGTGACCTTGCCTTGCTGGAACAAGCCTTGGGCTGGTCACAGGGCTGGCCACACAGCCCTGTGGTGAGTGGGTGGGTGGGTGGAGTCCTGGGTAGAACTCTGCTTGCTGAGCCCCTCTGCCCTGCTTACTACTCTCATTGTTGTTTTGCAGTTGGAATTTGGCCCCCCTCTCTATACGCCCTTGGATGGGGCTCCCCTTAATTTTCATAACCTGGTGGGGGGCTCTACCTGTTGCAGGACTGGCATCTGGAGGGGGGCTGGCTAGTCTGCCTCTGCGTGGGATCATGGGCTTGGTGTTTAATTATATGTGTCTCTGTTTCTCTCTCCCACCTCCCTCCTGTCTCTCCACTTTCCTTGGCCTTGACTGCTCCTCCCCCCAACCCCTCAGCCTGTCTCGCTGCTTGAGAAAGCCGCCCCCCAGTGGTGCCAAGGCAAACTGCAGGCTCATCTCGTAGCTCAAACTAACCTGCTCCGAAATCAGGTGACACTGGCTTCTAACCTTGCACGTGCTGGCGCCTTCCGGTCTCTGATCCTCTCTCGGGTGTCTGAACAGAAGCCCTGTGCTTCCTGGGATAAGGGAGGGCTCAGCTTCTTTCTGGGGTTGGGAGGCAGGCAGTGTTGGAGTCTGAGCTGGCCTTGAGCTGGAGGCCTGATCTGTGGGGTGGGGTGGGTGGGGCTTTCTGATGCCTCAGAGACACCTGACCAGGTATCCTGGCAGATAGGGACCAAGAAACTACAGCTGATGTAGATGGGGCCCCAGGCCTGAGCACTCTTCAGATTACTGACATCCTGCGCTGGCCCCCAACCAGGACTGTCTGAGCATTTGCCCTCCCTGGAGGCTCAGAGCTCCAAGGTTATCCTGGATGTTCTGAGGAAACAAATCTGCCCAGAAAGACAGTCTCCCCACCCCAGGATCCCAGAGCTGGTTGTGGCTGAGTGGGTCTTCTGACTTAAACCCAAGGTAGTTAACTTGGTCTGGCCTGGGCTCCATGTAGGTAGGCCTTGCCACCACAGGCTTAGGGCCTGGACACCTGAGGTGACACTGGAGGAGTCTACAGGAAGGCTCTGTAGTCTGGTTGGGATGCTGAGACCTGGGTGAGAGATCTGCATCCAGGAGAATCATCCTTTGGAGGTATCATGGAACACAAAGGTCTTGGGGGACTTCATATTGATGGCTGGTCTATCTTACTACCCTGCAACTGACTACAGTTTGGCTGGGATCCACTGGAGGCAGTGCCCTGGGAGAGATGGACCATAAGGTCTTTTTTTTTTCCCCAAGCATGCCGACGTTCTGGAGCTGCTTTATTGTGGGCATGGGGCAGGTGGCTGAGGCTTGACCCAGGAGGCTGGGTTTCTGGATTTTTCCTGGATAGTGTCCCAGTTTTCCTTGGCCACCTCCTGATTTCATCATTTCCAGTCCACATGTATCAAATGCTTATGATGAGAAGGGAGCTTAAGCTGACATGGCTAGCTGCCCAATTTCTTACCTGACTTGCTGCCTGATTTCTTTTAGGCCAAGGCTTAAGGCTGACTTTAGAAGCACTGAAGTTGGGATCAGGGTGACTCTGGTTCTTCTGAGCCTGTGGACATAACATTGTGAATCTGGGAAAGGTTCAAGTCAGCCTTGGGAAGTAGAGGAGGAGGAATATCAGAAGAGTGAGGGGCTTGGAGGGGGACAGAGCTACTGCCCTGAAGCCAGGTTTCTGTAGGATATTCCCTGATAAGGTTAAGTACTTTTACTGAGTCGGGGAGGCCCTTGGGAGTCTGTAGGGCCTGAGATGGGGCCTGTCAGCTGCTTTGGAGCTCCTGAGATAAGTGGTTGATGAATCCTGCTGGGAGGGTCTCTGTTCCCACTGTGGAGGAACAGCAGATATACAAGGTCACCACCAAACTGTGACTCCTGTTTTTAATTTGTGTGTCCCTTCCTCCTCATGCCTGGCTGGAAACTGGAGTGACTTTGGAGTTGCCCTCATTACTCGTGGGCAGCTGGTTGACTATGAGCTGGACACTTGGGACCCTGGCCTGCCCTGATTGTGGGCTTGACTTTGGGGGGACTGTATCCTCTGTCAGCTGTGCTTGCAGAACTGACTGGCTACTCATGGCCCTGGCTGGTTCTAGGAGCTTTCTGTATTTGCCATCGCCTCTTGGGCCTGCCTGCAGGACTGGTGCAATCAGTGGTCAACTTCTTGTCTCTGTAGAGGGGAACTGTCGGGGCTGTAAGGCCTCCTGCACCACTCACAGCTCTCCCCCAAGTACTTCCTAAGGTGTAGCACTGGTGGTGTAGTGTGAGCACAGCTGTCTTCCAAGGCTGTTCCAAAAGTCCAGAGTATGAGGAACACATTAAAGAGGAATGCAAGACTCAGGCCTTGACTTCTGGGAACTTAAAAATGGACCTGCCCTGTTCTTCACAGTGTTGCTAGGGCTTGTGAATAGGGCCTGGTGTAGAGAGGCCCCTGTTCAGATCTGACTTATCCTAAGAGAGTCATTTGTGTTTAGATAGCTAGCTCCCTCCCTCCTAGTCTACCTTTAAATTTGTGTATGTATGTATGTGTACCTTTAAATTTGTGTATGTGTGTATCTGTGTATGCTTGTGTATGGCAGCCATCCTAAGATGAACAATCAGGTGCTGTCTACCTTATTTTTGTTTTAATTAAAAAATTGTGGGGGGCTGGAGAGATTGCTCAGTTAAGAGTGCTGGTTGCTTTTACAGAGGACCTGGCTTAGATTCCTAGCACCATTGGTAATTCCAGTTCCAGGGGATCTTATGCCTCTTCTGACTTCTGTGGGCATTGCACACAGGGGTGCACCACATACATGCAGACCAAACACTCATACACATAAAATAAAAACAATAAAATATTTTTAAAAATTGTGTATTTGTGTATGTGTGTGGGTGCACATGTGCATATGTAGAGGTCAGAGAACAACTTTGTGGAGTCAGTTTTCTCCTTCTACCTTTATTTGGATCCCAGGGCTCAAACTTAGATTATCTGGCTTGTGTGGCAAAGTACTTTTAGTTGCTAAACATTTTGCCCCACCTTGTTTTTCAAGACAGGGTCTCTCACTGCTCTGAAACTCACTAAATAGGCTAGGCTGGCTGGCTAGTCAATTTGGTGGATCCCCCAGGATCCAGCTACTTCTGCCTTGCCTCTGCTGGGACAGCTCACACTACCATGCCCTCCTTTTATTTATTAAATTTTGAACATATTTTTATTTTATGTTTATGAATGTTTTGTGGGCATGTATGTAAGTGCATCCAGTGTGTGCAAACCCAGAGAAGCTAGAAGAGGCTGTCGGATCCCCTGGAACTGGAGTTACAGGGGATTGTGAGCTGTATGACCTGGATGTTGGGAACTGATCTCAAGTATTGAAAGAATAGGAAATGCTCTTAACAGCTTAGCCATCTCTCCAGTTGTCCCCACATTTTTAATGTGGGCTCTGGGGATCAAACTCTCAGGTTCTCATGCTTGCATAGCAAGCACTTTGTTGACTGAGCTATCTCCCCAGCCTCACCTTAAAATATTTTTCATTAGTCTGGCATGGTGGCACATGCCTTTAATCCCAGTACTCAGGAGGAAGACTGGTGACTCTCTGTGAGTTCAAGGCCAGCCTAGTCTACATAGAGTTCCAGGCCAGGCAGGGCTACACAGTGAGACCCTGTTTCAAAATAAAACCCCAACCAACCCCCCCCCCCCAACAAACAAAGAAAACCCCCAATTTTTAAAATTAGATTTTGGAAAGTTGGCTCAGAGGCCCATGTTTTATACTTGGAGGGGTCCATACTCAGAAGCCATGGAGGCCCCTCCTGGCCTTTTACCTTCAAGTCACCAAGGAGGGCTCCAGCTTGGACATACTGGAGCTGTGAGCTCAGTTGGCTATTCCTAGTGAACTTGGGTGGAGCAGCCTTCTGGGCCTGGGGAAGAGCTTGTGATTCTGGGTGAGCAGTGTTCTGGCTAGCTGTCCCCAGCCCCAGCCTGAGAACATAAGGCTGCTGGTGGGAAGTTTTCTCTGTTGTCCTCCCCCACCCCCAGCCTGGATTGTGAGTCAGACCTGAATCTGAGTCAAACCTCTCCCACTTCCCCTCAAGTCACTCTCCCCAGTCCTGGCCCTCTGATTCACAGCTCTGCCTGGGTGCTGGGATCTAGCGCCACCTCCTGGTGGATGTGAGCATTCTCTGCAATGAGATGAAGGGAGGAGCATAGACATTGGGCAGTACCTACTTCCTCCTTGTCTTGAGCCCCTCTGCCCTTGTTAGAGGTGCTGAACCACTGCCACTGTTCCCTGACTGGGACAGGTCACAAAAGAGGGGGTTTGTGGGAAGGACTCCTTACAAAGTAAGGAGACACTAAAAGCCAAGGCTTTGCTGACTCCGACCCTAAAAAGGGGTCAGGACCTTTCAGGAGGGGTGAGAGCGCTACAGCCAGGGAGCTGACACTTGGCTTGTGGGGGTAATGTGAAAGTGGCCAGCATCCTCACCTGACTGAGTTGGGGTCTACCTCTTTGTGCCTTAACTCTCCAGGCCCCTTGCCTTCAACCTTCGTGTGTGTGTGTGTGTGTGTGTGTGTGTGTGTCTGTGTGTCTGTCTGTCTGTCTGTCTGTCTCCCTCTCTTCTCTGTATCCAACTTTGTGTGCATGTGTATAAAAGCCAGAGGTCAGCCTCAGGTCTTGTCCCTCAGGGTTGTCCACCTTTTTTGAGACAGGGTCTCTGACGGGAACCTGAGGCACAATGATTGTTAGGCATGTGGGCCCAGGAGAGCTTCCACCTCTCCAGAACTGGAATTACAAGTGTGTTCCACCACTCCTCGCTTTTATATGGGTTCTGGGGATCAAACACATCCCCATGCTTACCTGGCAAGCACTTTACCCACTGGGCCATCTCCCTAGCTCCTGCCTCCAACCTTCTTTCTTATTGTGCTTCGTTCCCAGCTTACCTAGATATGGTGGCCCCCTTTTGCTGTGGCAGCATGGCCCTCCCTTTCTCAGAGTATCCCCTTAGACCCTAGGGCTGCAGGAAGGGGTTTGTGGTAGGTATCTATATCCAGTCTAGCCTCTATCCTGCTCAGGCCCTGGAGCTTACATTTAGGCAGGAGGGGGTGCCTGCTATGGGTATAGGTCTGGCTAGGCTCCCCAGGGCAGTGTCCCAAAGAGAGACTGACATGCTTCATTCCCCAGGCAGAGGAGGAGCTCATCAAAGCCCAGAAGGTGTTTGAGGAGATGAACGTGGACCTGCAGGAGGAGCTCCCATCCCTGTGGAACAGGTGAAGTCAGGAGAGACCTACATACCTGCGGGCCAGCATAGACCCGTGTCTACCCACGTGCCCTCCCAGGCTCTATGTCTCTGAGCATGCAGCATGTGGATACCTACCTGGTTTTCACCATGTTACTTCCTCTCCCTCTGGCAGCCGTGTAGGTTTCTATGTCAACACGTTCCAGAGCATCGCGGGCCTAGAAGAAAACTTCCACAAAGAGATGAGCAAAGTAAGCCAGGGTGACCCTGCAGGGTGGAGGGTCAGTCAGAGTCTGGGATGGGGTTGTTGGGCATCCTGGTAACCATGGCACCCCTTCCAGCTGGGGAGGCTGTGAGTGGTCCAGTCCAGCTCCAACCTGTCATGCCCAGTCCTGTCCTCCTTACCTGGATCCATGAACATGGGACAGTGACCAGCCCCCTTTCACTATAATCATGGTCTCAGTCAACCCTGAGAGCTGAGGGCTAGAAATGGTGACCTTCCCAATCCCCAGAAAAATAATAAACAAGTTACAAGAATTTTCACCATTAAAAAAAGTCTCCTGTGTTTCTTAAGCTAGTGAAATGGGTCTGCCTTATCTGCAGGGATCTGTTGTAGAATACATGAACAGCGGATGTTTCTATGTTGTGTTAGATTGGAATCTCTGTGATTTGGCTGTTGGAGACACCAGTGTGGTAGTTCTCCCACTCCACACAGTGAGTGCACTTTGTCTCTTAGACCCAGAGAAGTGAAGTGAGATGGTGGTTTACTGCTTGCGGCTGAAGGAGACAAAACTGGTTTGGGGCCTCTCCTGACTCATAATCCTGCCATTTAAACCCTCTCTTTTCTTGTTTTTTTCTCCTATCCTTTAAAGATTTGAGGCCAATTATATAATGTTTAGGGCTGGCAAGATGTCTCAGTGGGTAAAGACCTTTGCTATGCAAACCTGACAACCCGAGTTCTATCCCTGGAACTTATCTATGTAAAGGTGGAAAGAGCAACTACTCCACAGGGTTGTCCTCTGATCTTGACACCCACACCCATACACATCATACCCCCTCACTCCTACACACACGCGCGCGCACACACACACACACACACACACACACACACACATGAATGAATGAATGAATAGCTTTTTTAAAAATTAGGGATATTTTTTGGTGCTGGAGAGATGGCTCAGCGGTTAAGAACACCAGTTCTTGCAAAAGACCCAGGTTTGAATCCCAGCACCCATATGGCAGCTAACAACTGTCTGTAACTCCAGTTCTAGGGGATTCTGTCCTTCACGGGCATTGCACAACATGGGTGCACTTACCTACATGCAGGCAATACACTCATACACATAAAAATAATAAATAAAACATTTAAAAAATTAGAGATATTTTAGAGAAGGAAATCTTTATACAAAGTTAGTCCAAGGCACACAGACAGAATTGTTAAGTAGAAGGAAATTTTAGCTCTGTGTTTCCTAGTTGCCAAAGCAAAGAGTCTTGGTCATGAGAACCACAGTGTGCATGAGACAAACCTCTGTGCTTCTAGTGAAGTTTGTAGAAGTTGTAATGTGATCTAAAAGCATCTTGGCAAAATTATCTTAATAATTAGGATCAATAGTGAATCTGCAAAAACAAGTTTTAGAAACAAAAAGTTGAGGTGCCTCATGTCAGTAATCCAGGTACTTTGAAGGTAGGAGAATTGCTGGTTTGAGGCTGGTCTGGGCAACTTGTCTCAAAATAAAATGTTTTAAAAAGGCTGGTGATGTAGCTCAGTAGTAGAGTACTTGCCTAGCATGTATAAAGCCTTTGGTTCTGTTCCCAGCACCATGGGGAAAAGTAAAAACAGTAGACTCTGTGGTATTGGGAACATCCTTATAGGTAGCAAGAAGAAAAAAGATGGTCCTGGGAAACTGTTAGTAATACTGACAGTGCGTGTCCCCTATTACCAACACCACAGGTTGTCTGGGGTTCAGTGTGCTGGTCCCACTCCCATTGATGGGGCCAGAGGAACTTGTTCCTGATAGAGGCAGAGGTGGTCCCAGGGAAGGTGTGGCTGTTGAAGCTCAGCCTCCTTGCTCTTCCCTTCTTACAGCTCAATCAGAACCTCAACGATGTCCTGGTCAGCCTAGAGAAGCAACATGGGAGCAACACCTTCATGGTCAAGGCCCAGCCCAGGTGGGTTAAGGCTGACTGCAGATGGGGCCCTCGAAGGCAGTGGGGCCCTGTAACTTGGCGACTGGTACCACACAGGCATTTCCTTCCTAGACTCTGCCTTGTCTTCTTTGGGCTCCATGGTTTGGTCATGGGCCTCTGGGAACCTTCCTGGCTCTATATCTTGGAATCAGGGAAGCAGCTTGCGTAGTCCTGTTCCATGGAAGAAGGAGTATGATTGGGAAGTGTGCAGGTCCCTGAGCCTTTGTGGAATTGGAGGCAGGGTTGAGACTGGGCCCCACTGTGGTCTCTGACCTGTAGGTTTACCTGTCTTCTGTTCAAGGGAAGGCCCTAGTCCCTGGATGGTGGTGGTGCCTTGATTTTTTTTTTTTTTTTTTTTTCCCTCTGCTGCCTCTCTGGGGTAACGTCAGGAAATCCATTTCCTGAGGGAGGTTGGGAAGTGGTTTTCCTGTGGCTGAATATCAGTGGAAACAACCTGGAGTCTGGGATTTTTCTGTCTGTCTGTCTCTGTCTTGTCTGTCTCTGTCTCTGTTTCTGTCTCTCTCTCTCTCTTTCTCTTGGTATCTGGGTAAGTGTATACTCTGTACATACTCATCATACACCGTGCAAAACGCTGTGGGCCCTAGCACCACACTGTCTGCACAATGGGGTGATTATATCTACTTATTGGGGTGTCTAGGCTGCTGCCTAAGGACTTGGCAGAGTGTTTCAGTGAATTTTGTTAACATTTTTCCCTCTCCAGAAAGCATGTGATTGACAGAGAGGGAAGCATGTGGGTAGAGATGGGAAATGAGGCCAAAGGTGAGTTTGAGGTTACTGAGGAGACACCCTTGCCCAGTTGGAGGGACTGTGGGGCACAGGCTGGGTGAGCAGGCCATGCATAAAAATGGTTAGGGAAAGGAAGAACTAGAAGCTCTTGACAATACTATCCACCAAGGTGGCCTGTCTTTGGCCAACCCTAGCGGCCCAGGGCCTTCCAGGACCTGTCGGCACCTGACACAGTCAGGCAGGGAAGGACACAGGACAGACAGGGGTAGGCGGTGCAGACTCAGGGTGGAGGGACAAGCCTTGTGGAGGGAAGGCTTGGGAGGACCTACCTTTTTGGTCTGAGGACAGTGGGGAAGGCCGGGGAAGGCTGAGGGTAGGTGGGGGAGGTTAGAGATAAACACTGGGAAGCAGGATGCGGTGGAAGGTGGGGGCAGGCTGAAGTGGGGGCTGGTGGAGGGCAGGTGGGAGGGCAGGCCTGGGCCTTCCTCTAAGCAGGCTGGCAGAGGACTGCCTAGGGCCCGCTGCCTCAGCGCTTGCCCCTGCCCCAAATGAAGCCTCTACATCCCACCATCCCCACAGAAAGAAAACTAAACTGTTCTCGCGGCTGCGCAGAAAGAAGAACAGGTACCGCCGCTAGTGCAGTGCTGTGGGCCTCAGCCCCACCGTGACCGCGCATGCACCCTGTGCCCTGCGCCCTGCTGAAGGGCCCACTAACCCCTAACCTACCCGTGTGGCCTGTTGCCTGGGGATTTGTGTTGGAAGGGGATGCCAGGGGTACAGTAGGAGGCGCAGGGCACCTCATCTGAGGGCTATTGTAGCTCTGTTCTATGCATACCCTGTTGTCTAGCTGTGGGCCACTGTTGACCTGTGCACTTACAGGAGGAAAAGGTACTGACTGAGCAGAGGACAAAAAGGAGCACTATTAACCGCCCCCCCAGATGCCCTGTTTTAGTTATGTGTCTTAACTAAACACGTGCACTCCTGTAAAATAACTCCTAACAAGACAAGAGGGTCCCAGCAATGTGCCTAGTATCTTCTTACCCTGCCCCAGATCAGGCAACTGGGACACTAGTTCCAGTGGTCCTTCCAGACTGTTCTAGAACTTCACATGCCAGCAGCATAGCCAGCTGCTTCATGTGACTCTCAGGCAGTCCAGTGTGATCCTGGAAGCTGAGCTGGTCATGTTAATTTGTTTAAGTTGAGTAGACCCACTGTGACTGGTGACTACCACCTTATGCAAGCGTGGATGGAGATGTGTATCCTCTACTCTTGTACTCCCAGTGGTTACACACTCAGTGCACATCTGCAGCCCGGTGTTCTCAAGTAGATCCTGCTGCTCAGGACTTTGCCCTCTCCCAACCACCACCTGTCTGTAGTGAAGCCACCACTCTGTGTTCATGCCCTGCCTGGGCCTCAGGTGGCTTTCACTGTTCTCCAGGGTGTGCACTGAGCTGAGGACACCATGATAGGGAAGGTGTGGAGATAGTAAGTGCTCTTGGGCGGCAGTGGCATCTGTGCAGGTGGGCAGAGGCAGGTGGGGAGGCAGCACAGAAGTTGATGAAGCAGGCTGAATGGAGGGGCTGTTGCCTGATGGGAGAGAGACTTAATTTGCCTCTAGGATGTTTGGCTTGTTTGTGTCGTGGACCTTGGGCGGTAAGACGTAGGTGGGGTAGAGCCCAGTCCTAGCTGGTACATCTCTGCATCCAAGGCAGCCACCCTGTGACCCTCCCAGGAGCATGCCCTGGTGCCTTCACTCCCATTCTTCTCGCTATGAACACAGTTCCACATGGGGATCCACAGAGTTCACATATGTATGTTTCATATGTATGTCCATGGGGACATATACATAGTCACATGTGGCTCCATGGAGCTCACACATGCATGTACACAGTTTCATACATAAGACCATGGAGCTCACACATACACATACATAAGACCATGGAACATACACATCTATAATTTCACACATGAATCTATGGGGATCACACACACATATATGCACATAGAGTTTACATATGAATCCACAGGTACACACATAGATTCACATATGAATCTATAGGGCACAAACAGACACATAGTTTCATATGTGAATCAATGGGACATAGTATGCACAGTTTCATGTATATCCATGGAACTCACACATGAACACATATACATTCTGTTTTATCTATGGCTCCATGGGCCTCACATATTACATAGTTTCATATGTAGATCCATGAAGCTTACACATGCACATACAGTTTTACATGTGGTCCATGGGTACATACATGCACATAGTCTCAATAGGGGGGCACACACAGTGGAGTTCACACATATACATGTAGTCTCAGTGGGGCTCATATATGCATAGTCTCAGTGGGATGTACACACAATTTCAATAGGGTGCAGACATGCACACACAGGCTCAGTGAGGCACACACATGCACTTACAATCTTAATGGGATATACACATGGACACAGTCTTGGTGGGGCACACACATGCACGCACAGTCTCAGTGGGATGCACATGCAGTCTCAGTAGGCACACACATGCTCACACAGTCTCAATGGGGTGCACATATGAACACAGTCTTGGTGGCGCACATACATGCACTTATAGTCTCAGTGGGGCTCACACATATACACACAGTCTCAATGGAATGCACACCTGTAATTCCCCATAGACATCCACGGGGCTGTGCACACATTCCTACTTTCTCCATACTGCTCTGTATCTGCTAGTTCTTTGTTCTGCCAAGGCTTCCTGAGATCACTTTCCCATTTTTGTCCTTCCTCTGCAGTGACAATGCCCCTGCAAAAGGGAACAAGAGCCCTTCACCTCCTCCAGATGGCTCCCCTGCTGCCACCCCTGAGATCCGAGTGAACCATGAGCCAGAGCCGGCCAGCGGGGCCTCTCCTGGGGCCACCATCCCCAAATCTCCATCTCAGGTAGGCCCAATGTCTCCGTGGCCTGTCCCTCCTTCCTACTCTGCTATGCCTTCTTCCTCCTCCATCATCCCTTGCCTGGATCTGTATGGGTTTAGAGCCCAAGGCTTTGCTCTATGGGGGACTGGTCCTGGACGTCAGTCTCCTGGGATCCACTGAATCTAGGCTTTCTCAGTGACTGTGGTCTACTTCAGGGTGGGACCTGTGACTAGTTGTCCCTCCCCCAAACATCCCCATCCCTGGAAGAGCAGTACCCTCTCATTTCCTGTCTCTGCCTCTGTCCTATTTTCTTGACCCTCTATCTTCTTTCCTCTCTAGACAACTGCTCTGGGTCTGCAGTTCCTGGACTATTCAGTCCATCGTCCAGACTCTGGAGGTCTTACCCTTTCTCTCTAACAAGAGCTGAGGGAGGAGTCCTACCAGATGGCCTCACAGGACCATCAAAAGAACAGAAAGAGAAAGGGCTCAGTGAGGAAGGGTAGGGAGTCAATGGGGACAGACTCAGGGCCTTGGGCTTCTTTCTCCATCCCGCCTTGCTCCACCAAGCCCTCAGAGTTCCTGTAGAGGCCTTGGGAACCAAGTGGCTCTGAAAGAGATGACCCAGAGCTGTCCACACTTCCATCCACTGGGTCTTCCCCACTGCACTAGGTAGTGGAGACTATTAGCACCCATATTCTACAAAGACAGAAGGCAGGCTTACGGTGGCTACCTGCCTGAGGTCCCTTACCTTGTGGGCAGGTGTGTGGTCCCTGTAGGGACCTGGCTCATGCTGGCTTCCCCAGGGTCAGCCTGAGCTGGGACTCCATCTGGGCAGCTCCAGCCTAGGAAGATGGTGGAATGTCAGAGAGGAAGAAGCGGCCATGTGGGGTGGCTTTTAACTTCAAGTTCTCTCCCACAGTGATGCGGTGGACCCTCCCTCAAGAGCTGTGGGATAATGTTGGGAGCAGGACCAGCTGGGCCGCTCTGCCTTTGTTTATCCCTGCTCCCTCCTCTTTCGCTTCTGTCTCCCCCTTCTTTTTCCTTTCTTTTTGCAGTGTTTTTGGATCTCCTGCCTTGGTCTCCCTTTTGGAGGATGGCCTGCCATCCTGGTGTCTCTCAGGGGTAGAAGGGGTGGGTGGCATGACTTATTTGTTTTCCTTAGTAGCCTGGATGGGACTGTGGCCTGGGTGTGACTAACCTAACTGTGGCTTTGTCTCTGTCTCCCCTGTGTCATGCTCTGCCGTGCATCCTATGCTGCTCCCTCCACCGGCCCACAGCTCCGGAAAGGCCCACCCGTCCCTCCGCCTCCCAAACACACCCCATCCAAGGAGATCAAGCAGGAGCAGATCCTCAGCCTGTTTGATGACGCATTTGTCCCCGAGATCAGTGTGACCACCCCCTCCCAGGTCAGCCGCGGCCACCGCGGCCCAGTCTTTCCCTTCTCTGCTCTCTCTCTCTCGGAGCATGCATGGCCTTCATCCTCCACCCTGTACTCCAAGCTTCTCTCAAGAGCCAAGAATCTGGCTGGAGAGATGGGCTGGAGCCTTCATCTTTGAGCCATCCGTCTCTCCTCTTCTCCATTGTTCTTTCGTATCATTCATTCCACCCATCTGAGCCATCTCATACCAAGGCCAGATAAATGGACATGGTGGTGACAGGTGTTCCCTGTTTCTTGGTGGTGGCAGTCAGCTCAGTAGTCACCTCACAGTGATTGAGGCTGGGGACATGGACAGGTTGGGCACTCAGGGAAAGCTTCCTAGTGTAATTGATATTTATCTGGGGAGTATTCACAGAAACAGTGCTTTAGCCAGAGATAGCAGAACTCAGCTAGGAGAGTTGAGACAGACTTATTGGGGTCTAAGAGTTGCAGGTGGTGGCAGTGGGAGGAGCCAGCCAGAGTCCAGTTGGACTCTGTATTGGCCAGAGCTCAGAAACTTTAGCTCTCGGTGTTGCTGTTTGTAAGTGTCCTAAGAGGCAGGAAATTCTCATCCTCAGATGGACATAAGAGAGGACCCTCTCATGGTAGAGAAATATCTTGTTAGGACTTGGTGGGCAGATACATAGTCAGATCAGCTTGGAGTGATGAGCCCTCTACTTAAGGCTGGCTGCCCAACCTCCCTCAGGGTCTCCCCTTTGTGGATGTGGCTAGTCCAGACTCTGGGTGACTTCACCACAGCATCATGGGGTTGCTTAAGCTGCCCATGCATCTCTGGACTCTGCTTCTCCCAGGGTCATTTCCATAATGCCAGAGATCTGGAGAGAAGAGGGACAGGGTCTGAGGTGGGAGTGTGGAAGGGGCAGCTGGGAATGGAGAAGTTGGGCATCTAGCCCCAATGGAAAGACTTTAGGGTGGAACCATGGGTGGGATACTTTGTCAAAGGCCTGCAGGTATATAAGCTCCTCTCTGTGGGAAGGTGGTATAAAGGACGGTAGACAATCTCCAGGGGCCCGTTGCCAGGGCCTTTCCTCTGAAACATGCCTGTGCCCTGAGGGCACCTGCATAGGTGGCTGGCATGTGTTCAAGGAGAGAGATGGGCTGACAAGCTAAGCATGCATTATATAGCCACTTACCTGTGCCATTTTGTTTGGCTTTCAAATGTCCTCCGTGAGGTGACATATTTACATGGTGAGGGACCTGCAGTCTGTTCCATGGCCATGGGTCAGAGGTAGATAAAGAACGGCCCACCAGGCTCCATGTGTACCTGTCCCCCCATGTCACTGCATGCCTTGCTTGCTGCCACTTATGTCCATCTACAGGGAGCTGGGCCCGTGCATCTGTTTGGGGTGGGAGAGCCCTTTGAGTGGTACTGCATGCACGGGTGGTGGAGTGGGCTCCTGCTAGCCACGATGTCAGTGTCAACAAGCTTCTCTGTTGTGATGTGGTGAGTGGTCTACATTCCTACAGGGCCTCAGTTTGAGGGGTCACCTGCCATGGGCAAGGCTGGGAGAAGATAAGCAGCACCCTGGTTGTAGCCCTCCCCTTCCAGCACCTGGGAGCATGGCTGCCTGGGTTTACTGACTTCTGAGAAGGGTGTATGTGTGTGGAAGGGTCAGGGTTAGTTGCTGTAAGATGAGAGATGCCTGTTCTCTGTGGGTGGGGGATACTTCAGGGTCCTGAGGCTGTGACATCCCCAGCCCAGGTTTCAGACAAATCTCTATTGGAAAGAAAGTCAGCATCTATGAATCAGAGTCCTTTTGTCCTGGGAAAAGGGTCTACTTGGCCTGCTTCAAAGGGATCACAGACTGGCCCTCAGTGTGTCCAGGACTGTCGAGGTTCCTCTAGGGGCCACAGGCCACACTACAATGTTTCCAGCCTGTCTTGTTGGAGGCCATGGGATGGACACAGACTAGGGGCACCCCCCTCTCTTAGTGCTGGCTACTCATGGAGAACAAGTGGAGCTAGGAAGGTACTGGCCTGGGCTTATAGGGACTGTTGCCCCCCACCACCTCCTGAGGGCTGGGGAGGGAGCAATGGAAATCACATCCCTTCTTTGGACCTGGGTAAAGTCCTCCATGGCTCTGAAAGGGAAGCCCATATACAAAACAAGAACTGTAGCTAGGAAAGAGACTCCTTGAAGGTGGCTTGTCCTCTGAACGCTGGTGCTGCTTGGATACCCAGCCTCAGGGTCTCACCTTGATCAATTATTTCTGCCTCATTTAAGGGCAGAACCTGGAGACTTGTGGAGAGGCACTTCCTCTCATAATGGGCTAACCTGGGGCACAATGAAGCGTCATGTGGTGGGGGAGGGATGTACTAGCTCCAGGCACACAGGCCTCCCCAAAGAGAGTCTGGCAGTAGTTGAAGGTGGGCTCTATAGCTGTAATGTAGTTACCCCAGGTGGTCCTGAAGCTCCCTAACACTGGGATCCTATAGTGAAGACTGGCCCCTGGGGTATGAAGGCAGCTTAGTTCTTCCCTTAAACCTAAAGCTAGATGTTAGGTTGGGGTATCCCCAAGTGACTTGACTGGGTGCCTGGGTTGGGATACTGAGATGGGCATGTCTAGCCCTAACTGTGTCCTGGTGCTGCTTTCAATACACAGGGAGGTAAGGCCAGGTGAGCTTGAGGGGGCAGAGGGCAAAGAAGAGATCATGAGATGTGTGTCTGGCTTCTGGCCATGGCAGGCCTATTGTTGGATGTCCTAGTTGGGAACAGGTGTCTTTTTCCTCATGTGGATGGGAACCTGTACTAGTTTGTGTAGCTGTGGGCAGTGGTCTTTAGTGTGTGTGTGTGTGTGTGTGTGTGTGTGTGTATCTTTGTGTGTGTGCAAACCACAGACCCAGTCTGTTACTAACTGCTTTCCCCTTCTGCTGCTGCTATCAAGTTTGAGGCTCCGGGACCTTTCTCAGAGCAGGCCAGTCTACTAGACCTGGACTTCGACCCCCTTCCTCCTGTGGCGAGCCCTGTGAAGGCACCCACACCCTCTGGTCAGGTTGGTTGTGCCTACCACTGCCCATAGCCCACCAGCCTCAGGGTCAGGCCCTGGGCTCTTGTTGACCCACCTGCTGTGTGAGCCACATAGTTTCTTTGAGAGGGCCCTAGGTCACCAGGCCCTTAGCCTGGTGACCTAGCCTTTAGCCTTCTTCACCTCCTTTGGATGTAGGGCAGAGACCCAAGGTGGCGACTGAATAGGTCTCACAACCTCCAGTCACTCAGCATCTGATCCCTCCATTAGCTACCCTTTCTGGGTCTCCCTGGCCTTGAGCCTGGTGGTCTGCTACTAGCCCACAGAGAGCTCAGAGCCTGCTGTGTTGGAGTGTGAGGCATGGGTCCCTGGGTGTGCTTGCCTCCCTGTCTAACCTCTGCTGATTCTGTCCTTTACTGCTGCGCTCAGCCAATCCCATGGGACCTCTGGGAGGTAAGCCACACACTTGCTCTGTACCCACACCTGCATCCTGGGGTCTGCCTCCTTGTGAGTGAGTGTGCATGCCCACTTTCCCCTCTTCTATCCAGGTTCACACATGGCACACTCATGTGTGCTTATATGTACAGGGCCCCACTGAGGCTTCATCAGGTCCACAGGAAAGGGCTCCTTAGTGTAGCTCAAGACTGGGTTCTACATTGGTTAGGTTTCAGGTCTTGTCGGTGTTTGCCTTGAAAGTCATCTAACTGGTCATCTAGGATAGTTGGAGTCTTCCTGGAGGCCTGAGGCCTGTAGGCAGGACAACCTCTGGTGGAACACAGAGATGCACAGGGCAGGGTCAGGAAGGTGTTTTGGGGTCCTTGATGCCTTGAGAGACAGGGAAGGCAGGGTGAGGCCGGTACCTTCTAAGAGCCAGACTTGCACACAAGTGCAAGGCCAGCATATGTGGGACAAAGATCACCCACTCCTGGGAGACTCAGGGAGGGCTTGGAATGTGCCCAGAAGCTGGTGATAGTGAAACCCGAGTTACAGGACACTAGCTGGCAGGGACAGATGGGTGTGACACACAGTCTGTTGGGGACCTCTAGAAGTTCCATAAGCCTGCTTCACTCTGGGGCAGGAGAGATGGCTCATTTGTTAAAGTGCTTGCTGTGCAAGCGTGAGGACCTGAGTTTGATCCTGAAAACTCATGTAGAAATGCTACATGTGGTGGCACCAGCTTGTAATCTCAGCACTGGGGAGGCGGAGACAGGTGGATCCCTGGGACTGGCTGGCCAGCCAGCCTAGCTGAAATGGTGGGTTCTAGGTCAGTGAGACACCTTGTCTCAACACAAAGTGGATAGTGGCATGGGCTGGCAAGGCCATATTGACCATTTTGGTGAATACTGTTGTGTATTTGCATCATACCTATCTGACCCCTTGACCAGGGAAGGAATAGGGGAGTGGGAGGCAGATGAACCCACCAAGCTCTGACTGGGCTGCCACCCCAGGCCACACCCCTTGCCAGTACTGGCCACTCACAACCACCCTCTCTTGTTTTATGTCCCTGCCCGACACACCTTTCCCACCCAACCTCCCCATCCCTTCCCTCTTTCTGGTGGCCTGTCACTAGCCCACAGAGAATCAAGCTGGCAGCCTGCCTTCTGGGGAGCCCTGTGCTGCCGAGGGCACCTTTGCCGTGGCCTGGCCCAACCAGACGGCTGAGCCAGGGCCTGCCCAAGTAAGTGCCGCCCTTCCCCTGTCTGACTTGTTACCATTTCTGGGGATTTAGTATGTACAAAGAGCCAGAGGAGAGGCACAGGATAGACCAGGCTACTGTGGGCCTGAGGGTGAGGATGGCACTGTAGACAGGAGGCCCCAGAATGGGTGTCACTAGGGGTACCTATGGTATGTGATCATGGTTGGAATCACATCTACCCTCTCACTTGCCCACTCAGAGCAAGCTCCCAGAGCAGGAAAGGAGGAACATTTTAGAGCACCTACCAGGTTATTGTAGGCATTTTCTTGGCCTGTCATCATAACCTTATCTATCAGACACTTCCTCCTTTGCTATACTTGAAGACATGGAGTACAGGAAGGTTGGGTTACTATCTTCCAGTACTCAGAAGAGCCTGAATGTTGGTTGAGGTTAGCCCATTACTAAACCCTTGCTGGACTGCTCTGGCTCTGAAGCCATATCTGTGGAGGAGAAGGCAGCATCCAGGACTGATCAAGAGCTACCCACCACCCTGACCATGCTTGATGGGAAAAGGCCATCCAGCAGGCCCGTGCCAACTTGTGAAGGGCCACTATGGCTGGCGGCATGGGCAGGAGGAGGCTGAGACATGGGGTTTAGAGGGCAGGGCCTGTGAGGCAGGGGTAGAGGGTACCAGGCCAGGCTTCTCTGCATATGTGTCACTCCTGTGCCTACCAGCATCTTCTCTCCAGTCACCTCCTATGCAGGGACTGGCCTGGCATATGTCATTTCTAGACTCCCCAGGTGAGCCAGGCCAGTACCCCTGATTCTCCCACTTACACACTGCCCTCCTGAGGTATGTTTCCTGTATCCTGGCCATGGCATCCTGCTCTATGTCTGACACTTTGCCGGCATTTATATTGCAGCCAGCAGAGGCCTCCGAGGTGGTAGGTGGAGCCCAGGAGCCAGGGGAGACGGCAGCCGGTGAAGCATCCTCTGTAAGATGGCAGGGACCACACCCTGTTTTTTTCTTTCCCATTGTCTGTCTGTCCACTGCTGTCTGTCTTCTGCCTACCCACAGCTTTTTGCTCACCTGTGCTAGTACAAGCCAGGGTTCCTTGGAGGATTCCAGGGCAGGGTAGTTTGGGTACCAGACATGGATACCTCCCCTTCCTTCCTGTGGCCCTGTCTCTCTCCACATCACCACCTGTGCAGCTGACATGTCTCTTGTCTCTAGAGCTCTCTTCCGGCTGTGGTGGTGGAGACCTTTGCTGCAACTGTGAATGGTGCCGTGGAGGGCAGCAGTGCGACTGGGCGCTTGGATCTGCCCCCAGGCTTCATGTTTAAGGTGAGCCTAGGCTAACTAATCCTGTAGCCTTTGTCCCAGGTGCCTTGGGAGCTGGGATCACCCTTGCTTATAAGATACCCAGCCCAGGGGCCCTGGGGTTTGCTGCTGAGTCTACTTTACCATGCCGTACCAGAATATATCAAAAGGCCTGTTTGTGCTAGATAGGGAATACAGGGCCCCTTGACATGCTCCCTCGACTTCTGCAGGTACAGGCCCAACATGACTACACAGCCACTGACACTGATGAGCTGCAGCTCAAGGCTGGAGATGTGGTACTGGTGATCCCCTTCCAGAATCCAGAGGAACAGGTGAGCCTAGCAGAGCCTCCAACTTGGCTGCAACTGCAGTGCTAGACTTGGCCAGCAGGGGCCAGAAGAGGCCTGCTTTAGCTGGGTTGCTGTTAGCTGCTTCTCCATCCCTTTTCTCTCAGATTCCTTTTCTTGTCCCTCCTCTTTCTTTTAGCCAGCCATTCTATACTTTCCTCTTTCCAGCGGCCCTACCAACTTTCTGCATCAGAGTTTCTTCGTCCTGCTTTCCCTGCCCCCTGGCCTTGAGGCCTGCTTTCCTCCCAGGCCAGGGTCCCTGCCTGCCCTGGACAGAGCACTAGGCTCATGTCTGCCTTCTAGGCTGGCCTTGCTCTGTCCACACGGAAGTGAGGGCTCTTCAGCTATGTTCCTAGCAGGGTCTTCTAGATTTCTCATTGCTGCAGCCTCCTCATGTTAACTTCAAAGCTGGTTAACTGCTGGGCCTGGGTTGGTGCTCTGCATCTCCTAGGTTGTGGCCAGCTGCTCTGCCCTGGTGCCACTGTTGGTAGAATCAGCCATCATGGGGTGTTGGTGGCACTCAGGCAGACATCTGGGTTTGGCCTTCTGCTGGGCAAAGAAGCTGCTTTCTATGTGGTGCCTGGCAGGCCTCCTACCCTAGGTGGGAGAGGCATGAGCCACAAGGAGTGGCCAGGCCTGAAACTACTGCTGCTTGTGTGTGTGTGTGTGTGTGTGTGTGTGTGCACATGATGTCTATGCATGTACCTATGTGTGTGTGTATGCACACATGTGTGAGTGTGTATGTGTATGTGCAAGTGTATGTGTGTGTGTGTGAGAGAGAGAGAGAGAGAGAGAAAAAAAAATCCAAGGGTTGAGAATATAGCTTTGTCAGTGCCTGTCTAGCACGCACAAGGCCGCGAGGGACTGGTCCAAGGTCAGCTGACATCATAAGTAGACTAAGAGGGGCTGGAGAGATGGCCCAGTGGTTAAGAGAACTGGCTGCTCTTGCAGAGGACCCAGGTTCAATTCCAAGCACCCACATGGTGGCCAACAACCATCTGTAACGTAACTCCAATTCCAGGGGATTCAATGCCCTTTTCTGACCCCTATGGGGATTGCCTGACACAGGTGTACCTGCAAGTAGGCAATATACTCCTACACATGAAAAAAAAAAAAAAAAAGAAATATATTTTAAAAAAAAAAAATAAGCAGACTAAGAGGCTCTGTTAAGATTCTGGGTGAGTTGATTCCTCACCCAGAAATGTCCAAAAGAGTAATGGGCCTAGTTGGTATGCAATAACCTTACCTGCCCTGCCCTTTTTCACTGCTGTCTGGAAAGGCCCAGGCCCAGGAGGGGACGGGAGTCTTGACTCTTGTGAGAGCTGTGAGGGGAGAGAGGCTGCAGCTGGGTGTGGCCCGTTGGCTCTTCACTGTACCTGGAGAGTCTGGCTCCTAACAGGGGTACATCCTCCCACCAGGGCCTGGGCTTGAGGGAATTATTCATTTGTTGGTTAGACCAGTGCAGTCCTCAGGCTTGCTTTGCAGAGGCACAGAGGCGTCCGTCCACTTGGGAAAGGCAGGCTGGTTCATTCCAGGTCTGAATGGGTCTTAGTATTGTGGGGAGGGTCTGCCATGAGGTAGCCAAGAGGAAAGAACAACTGGAACAGGGATCACCTAAGAAGATGTCAGGGCTGGTGTCACCCTGCTGCTCTGTTTGGCCCAGGATGAAGGCTGGCTTATGGGTGTGAAGGAGAGCGACTGGAACCAGCACAAGGAGTTGGAGAAATGCCGGGGCGTCTTCCCGGAGAACTTCACAGAGCGGGTGCAGTGACATCGGAGCCCCTGCAGACTTCCGGGGTTGTGAAGAACACCTTTTCCCGAAAAATGTGTGTTTGTGTTTCCTTTTCTTTTTCTTTCTCTTTTCCGTTTTTGTTTTGAAACTTTTGAAAAGCATCGGGAAATTGGAGAGGAGGCCTAAGCCAGCAGCTGTTCTCCCAAAGCTGCCTTGGTCTTCCAGAGAGCCAGTCAGGCCTGTCCAGTGAAGTTCACGTGTTCCCGAAGCTGCTGTGTCCCCCTAGTTGAGTTCCCGGCGCCCGCATGTGCAGGGCGGGCTGGGGGCGCTGAGCCACCGCGCGCTTGCCTGCCGCTTGGCCTCGCCACCTGGGCAAGGGTCCTCTTCTGGCAGCTGCTGTGGTCGGGGCCTGGACACTGGCCCAGCCTGGCCCCTCCCCGCAGACCATCCGTGTGCTGTTTGAAAATAAGCCCTAGTGTTCAAAACGAAGCGAAACAAAAAAACCTGCCAAAATCACTCCGAAAAGTGCACGTGTGTTTTGTCACCTCTATTGTGGCAGAGTGGGACCCAGGCCCACCGAGGTCCCTTCCACTGTCCCCGTGGTGCTGGGGGCGTGGCAAGCTGCATGGGTGGTACCTCCCTTGGACCCAGATATGCTACCCTGGGTTTCCAGTGGCCGTGGGTTAGCGATCAGGTGGTGGGCACCCCCTGGGTACTCTTCCGAGGGGACCTTATTTCATAAATGCCGGGGATGGGAATGCTGCCGCCCAAGGAAGGAATCTCCTAAGGAGTGGTGCCCTGCAGTGGGAGCCTCTCTCTAGGGTCTCAGACGTTGGGGAGAAAAGGGCCTGGGTGGAGGGCTAGATGGCTGCCCAACTCTGCCCTTTTCCTGTGGCCCCTCTGGACACATTCTAGGGTCTCAGACGTTGGGGAGAAAAGGGCCTGGGCTAGATGGCTGCCCAACTCTGCCCTTTTCCTGTGGCCCCTCTGGACACAGCCATAGCTGTTCTGCTCCGTGAACTGAGGGAGCAGTCCAGCACATAGGACACACAGGCAGCCTGGCCTCAAATGCTGGACAGAATCTGGGGTTGGAATGAAATGCCTATACCCTGCTCTAGGTGACAGGGCTGCCTTGCTGTTGACTCCAGCTTGTGCCTTGTCTGTGACAGATCCAGCTCTGCCACCCATGGCTTCCATGAACACAGCATAGGCAGGTGTCCAGTTGGCAGTCTGTGGGCCACAGGCACCCCGAGATGGCTATGAATGCAGCCCAATGCAAAACTACAAGCTTACTTAAAACATTAGTGTTTTATTGTTTGTTTTTGTAACTCAATTGCACGAGTTCCTGAGTGTGAACTTTGTAGGTGACAACACCTTTCTTGCCCTGATGTCAAAAGGTTGGACATACCTATAGGAGAACATACTAATTTCTAGTTACCTGCCTTGAAGGCTCTAGCTTACCCCCGCCCCTTTCTCCATTCCCTGATATCCACAGGTTCTGTTCCTGGTGCTGGGGTGGGGTGGGGGTGTGGAGCTGGGTTTGGAGCCCAGACCTGACTAAGCTCCATTGCTTCTGTACCTGGGATGTGTGCATCCTGGGCTGTATGAGGCTGTGCAGCCATATTGCCAACATCAGACATCTTCATATGAAAAATTTAAAACTTTCATTAAGAACACTATCAGAAGGCATTTGGGGTTGGGGATTTAGCTCAGTGGTACAGCACTTGCCTAGCAAGTACAAGGCCCTGGGTTTGGTCCTCAGGTCTGAAAAAAAAAAGACAAAATAACAAAAAAGATACACACACACACACACACACACACACACACACACACACAGTATAAAGAAAGCATTTGCACTGGGTTTTTCCAAGATTCAAAGACAAGGTCTTGTTATATAGCTCAGGCTGACTGATCCTCCTGCCTCAGCCTCCTAGTACAGGGATTATAGGCCTTTGCCACTACAGCTGTGGGCGGCTGTGTGCCTGGGAGCATGGTTCCTGTTGGGAATTGAGAACCACGAAGCCTGTATTACTTATTTCATATCTGTAACAAAATATTTGATAAGAGTAACTTAAGAAAGAAGAGTTTATTATAGCTTACAGTTCCAGGGTATATAGTCCATCATGGTGAAGAGGGCATGGTGGCAGGAGGCAGCTGGTCACATTGCATCCACAGTCAGGAAGCAGAAAGACATGAATGCTGGTGCTCAGCTCCCTTTCTCCTTTTTATTCAGCCTGGCACCCCAGCCCATGGGATGATACCATCCACATAAAGAGTGAGTGGTCCCACCTTAGTTAACCCAATCTAGAAAAGGGATCAAAGGCCTTAATTTAAAACTTGGATATTAAGATAGAATTTCTGGATCTGCAAGCTGGGAGGCACAGAGGGTAAAGGCATTTGCCACCAAGCTTGATAACCTGAGTTTGATTCCCAGGAGACCCACATGGTGGAAGGAGAAAACCACTTCTGCAAGTGGTTCTCTGACCTCCACATACAGACTGTGGCATATGCCTCCCCCCCCACACAGGATAAATACATAAATGTAAAAAGATTCTTTTTAACCCCAGTCACAATGGCTAAAATCAAGAAAACAAGTGACAAGTGCTGGTGAGGATGTGGGGAAAGAACCCTTATTCATTGCTGGTGGGAATGGAAATTAGTATAAGCATTATGGAAATCAGTGTGGTTTCTCAAAACATTAAAAACAATTATCATATGACTCCTGAGCATATACCCAAAAGACTGTAACCTACCATAGAAAAACTTGCACATTTATGTGATGTATTATTAACAATATGAAGGAAATGAAATTAGTCTAGATGCCCAGCAACAGATGAATATAATGCAAACATTATATATATATAATGGAATTTTAATGATATAAAGAAAAATAAAACTATGTAACTTAGAGGAAAATGCGTGGATCTGGAAAGTATATTATGTGATCCAGATTCAAGAAGCAAAAAAAGCGCAGCACTTTTCAAAGGAGATGCAAGCTTACAGTGAGCTGAGGTGAGGTTGACTCAAAAACTATCCTGGGACTAACAAGCCTGTGCATGTGTTTTGTCATTCCATTAATTAAGATAATTTACTGTGTGAAGCATTTTCCATTCAACATCAGGTATTCTTGCTTTAGGACTGGTGAGATGGCTCAGTGGATAAAGATGCTTGCTGCCAAGCCTGATGACCTGGGTTGGATCCCTGAGACCCATGTGATAGAAGCAAAGAACTGACTCCTACAAATTGTCCTCTGACCCCCACACATGCATGCATGCATGTGTGCATCTGCTCATATGGGAGAGAGAGTGCATGTGCACATAGACAAAATAAATGTAAGAAATACTTTATTATAAGCAGACATGATTCCTGATTATGACGAAACTGAGGGGAAACACCCTGGTTTCTTGAACAAAGCAATGGGTTTCAGGGTATTGAACCATTTGGCCAGGTGAACAGTTAGTGATGGAACACAGATGGCAGTCCAGGTCTGGGGAATCTCCAGGGAAGCCTTGCCGAGGTCCTTTAGATCTTCCTGCCTGTGTGCAAAGGTTCAGTGTGGCCTGGCCTCCTGTTTCCATGGACTGTCCTAACAGCACTCCAGTCACATGACAAACACCATAGAATATCTTCTTGTGAGATGGGGAGATGACTGGGTGGATAAAAACACTTGCTGCACAAGGACCAGAGTTTGCATCCCCAGCACCTTGTAAATGCCAGGTGGTTGTGGTGGCCTGAAGGTGAAGACAGGATCTCTGGAACCAGGTGGCTAACCACACTAGCACATATAGATGAGCTCTGTGTTCAGCTGAGAGACCCTGCCTCAGTGAATAAGGTGGAGAACAATCAAGGAAGATTCCAGATACTAACCCTGGGCTTCCACATGCATGTACACAAGTGTGCATGTGCACCCTCACACACACGTGGAACACACACATACATACCATGCACATATGTGTACTAAATAGAAAAAGAAATGGCTTCTTGCCAGGCATGGTGGTGCATGCCTTTAATCCCAGCACAGATGCAAATCCACTTCTGTGAGATCGAGGCCAGCCTGTTCTACATGCCGCTGAGGCTACAGGGAGACCTGCCTTAAAAAGACAGTAAAAAAGCTTCTTGTATTTTCTTAAGACAGATAAGGGACCCATTCTCACCTGGACCTTTGGGTAGCTGTTAAGCATCATTATAGTCTGTTAACTACAAGGGGCTGGTGAAATTGCTCAGTGCTTGCTGTGCAAGTAGGGGGATCTAAATCCAATTTCCAGGAACCATGTAAAAAATATGTTTTTTGTGGACACCCGTAATCCCAGTACTGGGAAAGTAGAGACAAGTGGATCCCTAGGGCTCCCTGGCCAGACAGTCTCACCCAACTAGTAAGTGCCAGGTAAAAGTGAGAGACCCTGTCTCAGAAAACAAGATGGAAACCTCCCTGAGAGCAACACTGAGGCTGCCTTCTGGTCTTCACATGCACACACATACACCTGCATGTGTACCTGCACACACACAAACATGTACACACACATATACAAAAATAACCACAGTTAGTGCTAGTGATGAGTTCTTTGAATTATATTTTAAACACTCCTTATGCTCATTTTCCTATAAACAAGTAAAGCTGTTAGGGGTTAGAGTAATTTGATCGCCCAGTAGCAGCTTCTGAACTCTCTGACTGCTCTGGTTGCCTTGAGCAAAAGACCGTCAGACAGTCATTCTTCCAGACTACCCTTAGCTAGCACCAGCTATCTGGAATACTCCAAGGACTCCTTGAGAAAACTACAGAATAATCACAGCTGACGGCCTTGGTTCTTGAAGACACGGCCTTGGTTCTTGAAGACACTGCCTCAGGACAGGTTCAGTTTGTACCTGACCTTTATCTATCACAAGCTTTGAACGCTAAATGAACTTGCAACCATTTCTGCCTGGACCAGAGGTGAAGCACTCCCTCCTGTGGCCTATCAGGGGAACTGCTGTGACTAACGTTACAAGGCAAGGCTGTGATTGGTCCAAACACCACTTCTCAGGCTATATAATCAGGATGTTC